ATATATATATACATATAAGTAGATGTTTCTTTTCCTAAATGATTATAAATTATATCAATAAAAATTTATTATTATCAATAATTATTTTCTATTAATGGTAAATAATTAGAAGTGATAGCTTATAATGCATCACATAAATCTTTAAAAGAGAATAAGATTAAGATATTTATAGGAAATGTAAAAAAAATTGTAATTTATGCTTTTATTTCAGACTCTATTTCTCAGTATGCCTGATGGCGTGTATACAAGTCAATCTTCGCACTGCAAAAATGTATATGCCGTGCACTTAACTATGTTTATGGCTTTCTCGTTCTCTTCTCCGAGTACATCGTTCCTTACACTAAGCGTGCTTGTAAACCATAATTATCAAACAATCTGAGATAAATAAACTTCCTCAGCCTCGCGACAAGTAATTCATATCGTAAACGCTCAAAACGGTACGACTAATTTGTAGCATTAATTACGTTAAGGAAATTACACGTTGAGATAAATCGAGCGATCGATGCACCTGATGCCATTGCCATTTCCGCGCAGGAAACGCAACCGGTCAGCCACGGCGAACTCGTTGGCAGCGGAGCTCGTTACCTCGCAACCCCGAAGTAGGAGCGTAGAGGGGCACCGCAAAAATGGAAATGCCAAGCTGTTATTCATCTACAGGTTCGTTTCTTCGTCCGTGAACTGGCTACAGTCGGCGTGCTATAGACGATGGTATGTGTATCACCATGCGTGAGGCATGGCTGACCATAGACCGGCTCAGAAGTGGCCGAGACATTCGCCTCTCGACCGCGACCATGAGAGCACTCAACTCTCGACGCCCACGGTCAACCGCGAGCATCTATCGGCTCGTGCCTCGCTCGACTCTTTGTTTCTTCTTTCTGCTTTGCGTCCTTCATCACACACGAGCGCGAAGTGTGCCTCACGATGACGGCAGCGTCATTGCGGACCAAGTGCACGATAAGATTTCGAAACCGGTAGAGGTGAGTGATCCTGACGACGTAAACAAAGAGGATGTGGATCAAGCACGAAAAAGCTTGGCGATAGCAGAACATGAAGATGAAGATGAAGATGTTAGTGAAGGAAGAGATAACTCAAAGGAAGAGATACTCGTCGAGGATCCTGAAAAGATTCAGGCCGAAGCTGCTGGTGATGAAGGTAGCGTGGCGAAGAAGAGAAGACGAAACGACGTGAGTCTCTCCGGTAAGTCGCAGAATGGCGAAACTGCTGCACAGAATGTCGAGGAAAAAGACGAAGGTATTCGAAGATTTGACGCTCAAGTCGAGTCTGACGATACTGAGACAATACTGGATCAACGGAATGTATCGGACAATACAGAGAACAGTCAGGATTCACAAGGAGATACTATTGAAATTAACGTCGAGGAATTACATGCGGATGTAAAAAACGTAGACGTGAATCCCGATGAATATAGGGCGGAGCCGGAAGAAGAGAAGAACGTAGACACTTCTTCTAGTCTTGGAGAGAATCTAGAAGATATCATATTAAAATGCACGGATGAAATGATAGATTTAAACAAAGAAGAAAAGCGGCAGATCGAAAATTTAGCGGAACACAATTTGGATGAGGCACAAATAGAGAATACCGAGGAAGTAAACGAGGACGCACGCAATGAGCTTCGTAGCTTGCAGCTTGCTCAAACGGAAGAAACCGAAAGTAATCAAGAGGAGCATGTCGTGGAAGAAACTGAAAGTAATCAAGAGAAACGTGTGGTCGACGAGGCTTCTAGCAATGAAGAAATCGATGATGAAGATCTGGATCTGAACAGAGAAAATAGAGCCAATGTTCCAGGTAAGTCCAAGTACAAGAGTTCGACTGTTTATTTGAATGCTGAAGAAGGCAATTTGCCTGGTCGCGAGCAAGAATCGATTGTAGACGGTCAAATAAAAAAATTAATATCTATACGAAACGATGCACTTGAATCCGTCGGTAACGATGCGAAAGAGTCGGAAAAATTTGATGAAGAGAGTCTTCTTTCAGAGAAATCGGTTGAGGTTGAAGCGGTTACTGAAAAAGATGAAGAGATTCGCAATCAACGTAGCAGCGACGCGGAAGCGACGTCGATTCAAAGCGAGAATCTTGATCAATCATCTTCAACGACGGAAGCCGATTTAAACCGTTTTCAAAAATGGAAGAATCAAGCTGCGTTTCTTCAGGAACAAATCAAGAACAGAACATTTTTGCAGTATTTAAGGGAACAGGCAATTGAGGTGCTTCCGGATATTCCAAAATTCACGGAAAACCAGTTATTGGATACTTTGAAGAATATTGCGATAACGCGGAAGTCACCTACGAACGAAACGTACTTGGCTAGCTTAAACGCGACCGAATTGACTGAAAACCAATTAGAAATAATAAAGTGTGCCGAGCAACTAGTACAGACAAAACAGCGCCAGTCGTTTGTGGAAAATATAGGGGAATGCATTCGCGGTCTTAGTGTCCTTAACTGCGTACGCATCTTCGTCTGGCCCGTCGTGCTCGACAATCTCCCGGAATCAGTTAAGCAGCCTCTGAATTATCTGCCAATCGAGGTAAACTTAATGGATTTATTTCAGGGTAACAGAGCCAAATCTGCGAGAGCAGAGAACAGTATTCATCATCCGTGGTTGCTAACGCCTGAGTTCATTGTTTTCAACATTCTGAAGGGTGCTTTGGAATCGAAAGTCACCTACGACTTGGTGCCGACTTTCATCGATCCGACGAACGAAACCCTGAGGGCACTGCTCACTATCGGCCAATTCCAAATTTTGCAGATGGCCGAGAAACTTTTACCGGGTGAGAGACGTCGCGAATATGCCGACAGGATGTTCTCATGCGTACGTAGATTCGAGTACTTCAGCTGCGTCAAATACTTTGCCTGGCCGATGGTGAAACAACATTATCCGACGCTGCCGGCTTTTCCGGATTATCAGAATTGGTATCCATCGATACCGTTGTATCCGCAGTACCCTATTGTTCCCTTTCCCAGTTTTGTGGGGACTCCTGGCGAGCTTCCGGAAGTCATTGAAGCTGATGCCACGAGAATGCGGAAGCCCAAGCCGGAAGCGGTGATCGTGAACATCCTTCAGAATACCTTGAAGGAACACGCGAAGGTTCCTCCTCCATCTATCGCTCATACTACAGATTCTTACATTGCTGTACTTCCTCCGGAGCAATTACTGTCGATCCACATGGCTGAACAGCTACTTCCTATCGCGTATCGTCCAGAATTTGTTCAGAAGACTGTTAAGTGCATTCAGGAATTTAATTATGTAACCTGTTTTAAATATTCCACCTGGCCGACGGTCAAGCAGTTTATTCCCAATCTACCGGATATTTCCGAGTGGCTACCGGACTGGCAATTGCCAGATTTCTTCGGTTTGTTACCAAATTTTCAGATTCCTGATTTTTCATCAATTTTAGGAGGAAGCCAATCACCGACTTTACCGATTCCACCGACTTTACCAAACCCACCGACTACAACGACGCCGCTAGTCACTGAAAATCCATCGGAATCCGCTGGTGCAGAAAAATTATCCAATCGGATTCCATTATTATCGCGTCAAAACGAAATTTCTTCCAAAGCATCCAGCGAATTAGAAAACAAGGTTACGGAGATTTTAACAAAGGTACGTAATTCCCTGAGAGCGACATCAAGAAATTCGCATTTAATCGTCAACGAAAATGTCATTGTTCTGACAACAATTACTGAGAAACAACTTAATATACTACAATTAGCGGAGAGCATGGTACCACCTCCGGCTCGGGCACCTCTTGTAGTTCAAGTTATGTCTTGCCTCCAGGCGAACAACGACTTTCTCAATTGCACCAGATACGTCATTTGGCCCACGGTTGCTCTTTACGTTCCTAATTTCCCTGAATTTCCTGATTTCTCATCTGCTCAACAACCATCAAAACAAGAAGACCAAATACCATTGAAAGACAAGAACATTTCAGCCATCAAGGATCAGCAGGAATCGAACAAATTGCAAACGAATTCCAACGTGAAGATTATTTCTAGAACAAAATTTTCGCCTAATAATGGTCCTGTGATTAGTGTTACTGGTACCCGATTTGTGCCGATATTTACAGAACATCCTGAATCGGTAATACTTAATATTCTCAAGGCGATTCAGCTATCTTCGCCAAACGTGAGAGATGAGCAGAGTGTGAAAATAACCAGCACGCAACAGTTTGACCATTTGCTTAATGATCAACAACTGATTATTCTTAAGATAACAGAGGGCTTACTACCCGATGCAACTCGTTCTGCTTTCATGGATCGAATGATAGAATGTGTACGCAAGAACAATTTTCTGGGATGCTCAAGGACGGTATTGTGGCCGAGTTTATCAAAATATTTCCCTAGACTGCCCAGCTTTCCAAATTTCGAAGGACATCCTCAAGCAGCAAACAGTAAGTCTACATTACCTCAGAATCTGACTGACCCTTCGCCGTTGTCGGAGATTGATGTGAAAGTCGGTCAGCACGGAGATGCTACTGTTACCATTACTGATACTAGATTTTATCCGATTTTTTCGGAACATCCAGAAGGTGTAATTTTAAGAATACTTAAAACTGTGCAGCATTCTACGCCGGAAGTCCTGCCTTCAATGATTACTTCAAGATCGCCGCATGTTACATCTTATTTTACGGAACAACAAGGTAATATCGTTCAAATTGCAGAAAGTCTATTACCGGAATCAGTAAGACCAATCTTCGTAGAGAGGATGATCGCTTGTGTGCGAGAGAGCACGTTCCTCGACTGTACGAGGAATATAGCTTGGCCGACAATTGCTCAATTCTTCCCAAGATTGCCAAACTTTCCAAATTTTGGAAATTTTCAAATTCTGCCAAGAACTAAACTCGATTTATCATCGATCATACTACGCAACGCTTATTCCGATAATCAGACATCTAATGAAAAGGGCGAAAATATATCAAAGATTGCCATAGAAACAATTGAGGGTAAAATAGAGAGTACATTAAAGGATTTGTTAAGTAAGAACTCGTCGCCGCGTTCAAAAGATTCTTACCTAGACGTCAATAATCCTGTGATAGACACTCTTCTGACTGCTCAGGAGATGAACATTGTCAGATTGGCTGAGAGAGCAATACCGGATTTGGTACGTCGCGAATATGTAACCAACTTGTTGGACTGCGTGAGAAGCAATAATTTCATGGCCTGCACCCAGCATGTTACTTGGCCAATTTTGAAGCAATTTTCGCCAAGTGTACCAAGCCTCGAAGAGTTGTTCGGTCAGCTTCAAACTCCTGGTCAGATTCCCGGTATAAGCCTAATTCCTGGCTCTGGTCAAGTTCCTGGTATTAGTCAAATTCCTGGCTCTGGTCAGATTCCCGGTATAAGCCTAATTCCTGGATCTGGTCAAATTCCAGGTGCGGGTCAAATTCCTGGTGCCGGCCAAATTCCTGGAGCCAGTCAGATCCTTGGTATAGGTCAACTTCCTGGGCAGATTTTTCCTGGAAATCCTTTCGCTGAACGTCCCATACAGTTCCCTCTCCCTCAACGTCCTACGGTACCGAGTGGAATTCAAACTGGCATTCCTCAGTTTCCAGGATTGCCTAGCTTTGGCAGCATAAATTATCCGCAAATTCAAATCCTGTCGGATGCGCCGAAAGAGTCAAAGTTGCAGGAGCTGAAGTTTCAAGAGCAAACAGTTCAGTCGAAAGTTGCGCATGCAGTGGAACAGGCAAACCAGATAAGTGGAGAATCGAGGGCTTCGAATACTGCGTCAGTAGGTGAATCAGTCTTATCCGCTAAACACACATCGACACCCCTTCTCAATATTCAGTTCATTAATCTTTAATTTTGTTTATTTTCTAGACGAGCAAGGAACCATCCCCGAGTATCTTGGACAACCAAACATCCTCATAGATATTTCTAAGGAAAAAGTCCAGTTGTCTGAATTTAAGCAACAATCATTATCAGAGTCCGTTCCCTCAAGCGCATCATCCAAGAAACACGAAAGGAGACGAAGAAGTACTGATCAATTATTAAATTCTTACTATGAGACCGAAGGAGAAATTGAACAGACTTCGGAGACGACAATGGATAGCATGTTCCCGAACATCACGGAATCCGACTTTCTTCAGCTTCTAGTTAATATTTCCAAATCTGAAAAATTTTTGGAAGAAGAATCTAAAGATAATTCGAAGGAATATTTTGTAGATACATTAAATTATACAATCAGAAATTCTCTAACCGCCGATCAGTACGAAATCTTGAAGCTGGTGGAAGATTTGAACGAGCATACGGCAAATCGCGGTTTTCTATCGCGAGTAGTTCGATGCGTACAGAGCTTGAGCTTTATCAGATGCATGGGCATTTTCGTCTGGCCAGTAATCACTAGTATCGTGCCATCTATCTTGCCATCCTTACCCTCATTTCCTGGTTTCGGAAGATCAATGGAAACAGAAGTACAACATTTCTTCGGTATGTCCACAAAGGATTTCGAGAAGGAATTATTGGCGAGAAAGGAATCAATGGAAAATATTTTCCTGGACTGGTATAAGACAGCAATGGAGGATAAATTTCAAGTAGATATGGGTTTCCTAAAGCTTAAGGGTTACGGGAACGGTGAAATCGGTATAAGCTTCAATGGCTTTCGCGAAGGTAGAGCTACGAAGATCAAAGACAACAAGAACTTGCCGAGTATCCTAACGATCATCAGCGATATTATGGAAGAAGTACTGGATCAGCGGCCGGACAACGAGAAGCTGAAGAAAGAAAAAGAAAAAAAAGAGAGAAGTCTAGATGACATGCAAGATGCGAATTTTCAGCTTCTGCAAGAGAGCGACGAGTACACGGACATTAAGCGATCTATAAATGACGATAAGATAATCACTATGTTTCTAGATAAAATCAAAGCCAACGCAACAGACTTCGCCGATGGTGATGTTGCTCAGTTCCTTAACGTAGAGAATGCTTACAATGCTTTCAGTGTACTCTTTGGTACCCGTTTAAACGAAAAGTTTGCGAGCAGATTAAAAGCCTTTACCGAAGAACATCTTAGGAGAGATAATCCTGAGAAGCATATGAAGAATCTCAGCACGGAGGAAATAAAAGTAGTACCATTGAAGGAAGAAATGACCTACGAGCTTCAAAAAGAATCTGTGGAAAGTGATAAAGAGCGCAAAAGAGATCATCGTGCAAAGAACGAATTCAGATCTTTGCTGAATGGATATTCAAAGAATTTAGAAAAGATGGCGGAAGTTTCTATGCAGAAGAACGAGGATCCAGATAATGAAAATAGGATCAAGGATACCGAATCGTCCTCTGACAACAATATGCGTTCGGAACTGAGGGTTTATTTGCCACGTTTGCAAGAAGACATTATGTCCAAGAAAATCACGAGTGCGGTGATACATCTCGGAAGAGCGTTGAAGACAAAGATGAGCCATTTGTTACCTGGAATTGGTTTCATAATAACTTTCATCATCCAGATGGCCTTATCTCACGCGAGAGCGGCTGCTTCCATAGCTGGTATGATCAGCAACATGGCCCTTGCATCAGCTATATTCGGTATGATTCGACAAAGTGTATTCGGGTCGGAAAATCCGAAGATCAAATATGTATACGATAATGATCAAACGGGTCCGGGGATTACTTGGCCACATCATCATAGATCATATTATTATCATGAGAAATAGTATTTTGATTTGCCTGCTCAAGTCTACTTATTTTTTATGTATACTATATTAAATTTCCATACATATGTTTTGTTAAGAGCTTTATATAAGTCTCTGTCGTTACAGACTTTTCTCGAAGTCTGAAACAAATCGAATTATATATTGGGTTAGCTTTAATGTTTTTATATTAGTATTGTAGTGGTCGCGCGCGTTTATAAGACAATGTAATTTCGAGATAACTGCTCGATTTCTTTGCATAACAAAATTATATTATTTCCTAAAAAGAGATTAGTCGAAAAGATAGATATTAATAGTTTCTATAGATGCGTCCGTGACATTGTATCTCGTAATATATCTTATTTACACTTTAGTAACACGGAATTCAAGTAGAATATATTTTCAAAAGTTAGAATAGATGATATTTAGAATTTGAAGAAACGGTATTTTTGTAGATGATTATGGAAACAATCCCTCGCAATTTAATCATGAAATACGCGCCATTTCGCAGGTGATATTTATTTCATTGTCATGGGGCTTTATGGTGGTGGGTGATAATTTTTCATATTTTCTTAAAGATTAAGACATAAGTACGGCATTAAAAAATATGTAATACGTAATACAGAATGTATCGCAGAAAAAATATTGAATTGCTAGCGTAAGTTTTTTTTAAGACTGATATATTCTTAAATATATCTGATTAAAAATAAATGAATTGTATCTGTCTTGTATAATCCCTATTGTCCCTTCAAATTACAATTATCAATTAATTAATTTTAATGTTATTTTATTTTTTAATAGAATAGACATTTTAATAACATTATAAAGTTTTGTTAAATTTATATTGTAAACAATATAATTATTTAAATTATTTAAATTCTTAAAGTTTTTAAAAATATATATCTAATTTGATTTGTAGAATTCGATGAAAAAGTAAATATAATAAATTATGCATGCGCTGCAATGTTATTCGAGAATACTGGTGCTGCAACTTTCAAGAACCTTGAGAAGTCAACAGTCAGGAATAGACCTGAGATTATTCTGGACTACCACTGAAGGTCTTCTTTTCGTGTAATTCCTCTTTCTTTTATTAATTTCATCAGTTTTGCATGCGGCAAAAGATGTATCGGGATGCAACAAGAGCACAAAAGAGACTGGAGTTAAGATCATGACACAACACGCAACCGTTAGAACGTTGAATTACTACGAAAGCAGAATAATTATATTACTTTAGAATTCCATAAATATTATTTTCCGATATTTCTCACATTGCATACAGGTGTAAAATTACGAATTCTTGGCAGAAATTCTATATAAAAAAGACAAGAATAGATTGGCAAAAATAGTTGGATTCAAAAATTGGACACACGCCTAGTATGTACGGCATTGTGTCATAAGTGACACAGCCCGGTTCCATCAACGTCAAGATTAATTTTAATCCCTTAATCGGTTTAATTTACACTTTATCTTTTTCTAAGAAAAAATAAACAGCAAATTAAAAAAAAAAATAAAAGTAAAATAAATTAATTCCAGCCAAATTTAACGAATAGTAATTTTATTTAACGGAATAAATGTAAAATGCTTAGAACGTAAATACTTAGCGTAAGATATTTTTAGTCAATCACGAACGGCCAAATAGAAGGTACTACATCTTCTTGAATCACTTTTGATTCTTCTTCCTCTGGGATTTCTTCTGTGATCGTCCTCGGTTCGATTTCCGCAGAATAAGTTAATTCATTCAAGTAATACCTTCAGTAAGTAATTATTAATTATATTATAGAAATGCTTATGATACGATTCATTTAAGTATCACAAAATGTGCATATATACCATTCGTGAGCGTGATGACAATCGATATTTTCCTCGTCCGTGCATATCCGCTGTTTCTGATCAAACACTGTATCGTTAGCGCAGATCACTGGGAATCCATCACCGAAATTTTCACAAACGTGAAATATCCGGCAATTGTAATCTATGTCGGCATAAAAACCCGATGGCATATCCTTGCAAGTGAAGCGAAAAGTTAGATTGGCGAAGATATCAATATCATTTTGTTCACTTGATATCTCCTCATAGGTTTCCAGATGGTTTCTATCCTATGTAAAACATAGTAATTCGTAATTTTTAATTTTAACAAAACAGATATATTAAAATAATTTCAAAGTAATTAAAAAAAAAATTCTTACAAAATGACCCAAAGTAAATTGATTTGTCACTTTTGTATCTGTATAACAAAAAAGATATACATAAAATCTAACTTCTTTTAAATAATAGAAAATGTAGAAATCCTCAAGTAATCGAAATTTAGAATATAGATCTAATTTTAAAACTTACTCAACAATAACGAAAAGTTGAACACGTATATTATAAAATAATTCATGTTAATTGTAATTTTTTAAATGTAATTTTTTAAATTCTTGGTGCCGAAATTATAACTCAATACCAGCTAATACTATCACTCATTTACTCGATGGATAACGCAACCGACTGCGCGACTACAAGCTCTTTGTTTGAAACTGCAGAACACGAAGAGCTCAATGACCTTAATAGCCATGTAATTTCTGAAAAGGTCCGTCATTCTCTCTCATTATTGTTTAAACGACACTTAACTATCGTATCCTGCTTTGCTAAACGACGTTTTCAAATGATCAAGAGAATATTCTAAAAAAAAAAAAAAAAAATCCAATCTTCTCTATAAAGAAATTGAAAATGGCTTAATCAATTTGTAAAAAAGAAAAAGTAATAAATACAAATTTATTACAAAGAAGTTTGTGTTAAAATTAAAATTTTCTATTATGAAGAAAGTAACAAGATAACATACTTAAATTTTTTTGAGATGTTTATTTAAATTAATCTGTGCACCAACAGATGTCGGCTTCATGCTATAAATTACGTGACTCGGTTGAGTACCAAGGTAACCACGTAAAGAAACTTTCACTAGCATCAACCAATCCTAAGATGTACTTGACAGCTGACTTTCTTCAATACGAGGATTTGCCAGGATCGTATCATTACATGTTAAATTAAATATAACGTTATGCATTAAGATTACACAATAATATTTATTTATTCATTTGTAATTGTTTATAATTTGAAAAACCTAAAAATGCAAACCAAAAGAATATAAAGAAATATTTACAACTTCTAATCAATATAATTTTATAATTTTTGACGTTCTTAAAAAGAAATCTTAAAATTAATCAATTAACTTAATCAATTAACTAAAAAAAAATTTTTTTTTAATTATTCATTAAAATGACAGAAATTTTTTACATACATTATTATTGTAATTTTTTTATTAACTTAATGGAAAATTTTGTCAGGTCACTCATAGCTTATCAATCGCGACCTTCGAAGATATGCTGCATTTTATCAAAATGTGATTGTGGCGAGACTCTCCTTCTTTCTCTCGCAACGGCAAAGGTGGGATGTCTACGAAAGGACAGCGTATCAACTGCCAATGAGGGAGGCCTTACTTCTGAAGCTGCCTTTCTCTTTGCCTCCGTGCCTCGGTTCAGTTTTCACGGCAGTTTCAGCCAGGAACCACATGCAGAATGTCTTGAAGACACACGAAGGTGAATTCAAAACGTGTGCTCCTTTCTGTTCTTCTTTCTCACTCTTTCTGCTCCTGCATGGTGGAAGAAAAAGGACAACCCGTTCGGCTGCGAAAATGTAACTCTGAGGATACCAGCAGTGCATCCTTGAAAAAAATCACAACGACCTTCGCGCTTTTAAATATCGTTGGGAAAAGTGTAACAAGGTATACCGCGACTTTTTGTGACAAATGATAATATTATAGTCTATTATCTTCAAATTGAAAAACGCTCTAAAATATTGTTTTTAAAAATCTCGCAATTTATCGACTATTAGAGTAATAGCAGGTACGATGTATTATACTAATAATAAGAACAGCTTGTCAAACAGCTTATGTCAGATATGTCAGATACTAGGCTATAGATTGAGATTGAAAGCAATTAGAAAAAAGAAAATCAATATCAAGTTTAGTAAAACTTTGCTTCGATTGATTAAATTCATTCTCAATTTTTAATACAAGTATTAGACTTGTTATATTTTAAAATACGAAGATGCTATTGTAAGTTTCGTAATGTTCGCAACTGAGTATCCACGTGTGTTTAGGCGCGTCATCTCTCCGCTCAGCGAACAGTGACTTTAATGCAGGCACAAAACGTTACGCTTCTACGTTACTTGAACTAATTATTTTTAATACTTAACTAACTCACAAAGCTTTGCACAGTTATTTCTATTTTGTTTAGTTGCGATAATAATGTTCTTTATAATTATTCTAACTTGACATATGTAAGTAAATACAGTATAAATAAAAATTTTTTTTTTTGAAGAGTTCATTATTCACACAATATATAAGATTTTTATTTTTTTCACATAAATTTAATTTTGAGATTCGGAAACTTTGTAATGGTTTTCTATAAATAATGTTCTTCTCATAAATTACAAAAATTTTATATAATAATCAAATATAAATTAAATTAAATTATATATATTTTTACTTTATTTAAAAAAAATTTTTTTAATAATTATTATACATGTAACATTTTTGAAAGGAAAGGTGTAATGTTACAAATAAAAATCGTATAGTAAACGAATGTAGACTATCAAAACAAAAATATTCTTGCCTACTGTGTTAAAGAAGTGCACGGAAAAGTGCATCTCATTTTGACGAGGCAGTTTCTTTTATAATGAGATTTAATTTTAGTACTTAACTGCGAATATTATGAGTCGGTAGTGATGCATTTTCTTTACATAAAGCCGTCTATCTTTGCTGCGTTAATACAATAGCTCTAATTGATAGACTTTCAGAAAGTGGAGCGTGGCGCAAGTTCTTTTTCTCTCCACTGTCTTTCCGCTTTCGAGAAGCGGAAGTCTCACGTTCGGGAAAGCATACTGTTTATTGATAGCTCCTCGAGTTTCTAAATATTTTTAAGTCGGTACAAATATAAGCAAAAAGTAACAAGTAACCGTTCGAGTTTTGATCCAGATACTCGAGATAACTTAATAATAAATAATCGAGTATTGCCGATGCATTACGTCAATGGTACCAGGTTCGTTCATTTTTCTTAGATTTGATACGAGTTTGGTGTCACGAGAGACCAACGTGATTCGGTCCAGTGGTTAGTTCCTTGGTTTATGAGGTAGAAAGATCAACTGAGTGAAAGGCGCGTGTGTTTTTCCCAACGTATCGTTTTACTTCTAAACGTTATCATCGATTTTAGATTTGCAGATTTTCTTGATCACAATTTAATGTTCTTATTCTCTTAAGAAAAACGCCTAGTTGGATTAATTGGAATTTTGATTAAAAATGGATAAATCAAAATTTTCTGATTAAATTTATCAGAATTCTAATTAAGATAAGCGGAATTTTGATTAATCTAATCTTCTGGTTCGCTCATTTTCAACCAAACATTTTTCTCAGTGTATAAATATAAATTTATTAATATACTTTTACTTGGCATACATCTTGTCTAAGATAAAAATAATAAATCTTCCTCATTCATAATGCAAACGCTGATGTTTTCCTTACATATCGTGCTTATACAGACATTATATAGCGAGCGCTATAAACTGATGCTTAAACTAGATCACCGTGTTTTTCCTCTTGCCTGTTTAAATTACTAGGACTGTAATAAGGCATAGTTTTCCATTTCTCAGATCGATGAGTCTCACGATTATTTTAATTATAAGCTACTGTTAATTGCGGGAGTCTCGCTGCGACACGAAGACGATCTCGGTTGTTAGACGTTGGAATATATCGAAAGTGTGTATAAATAGACAATTCAACTTTCATTGTTTACCACACAATTGTTAATTAATAATAAGATATACTGTGAATGTTTTTCATACAATAAAAAAGAATATGCTTAGATTCAACCGGGAAAACAAAGGAAACAGTGATTAATAATTGCATCAAAATATAATTGATTATTAATGGTGACGACTGTATTTCTTTTCATGGCCTGATATCTTTTCAAATCCACCCACAGAGCACAAAGAGCATACGATGATCTTTGAAAGGAGGTCGGTTATTATACAAAAATTATATTTGCTAATCGTCCAAGTTTCGAAAGAAGCACAATCAATTTGCAATAAACCGCGGTGCAGCACCATTGCACGCAACCATTAATTTTCTATCGAAATTTCATGCATGGTTACGCAGGTGGTTCATCGTTTTCGCGATAGTACACAGCGAAAACGCATTGGTCTAATTGCGTGCGTGAACATTTCCGGATGGACAAGTCGCCGCTTTCATCATTTTCTTTTGCAAGATGCGCAACACGAGGCAAATTGTGAGTGACGTATGAGTTAAACATCCCTACGATAGCTTATAATTTGTTACGTGACAGAAAGCGCGATTGCCGTAGTTGCGTGCCTCCTTTCTAGAATCGCGTGGGAGACGCTATCGTCGGTACACGATCATTGTATTAATTATGATTGAATAATGAATAGACCAAGCATGATCCATGAGAGCATCATCCATGAGATCTTGATCTTTCGCGGCGTTTTTTTTTTTTTTTTTGCTACGCGGTGATCAGCGCGTAGGTCTCATTTTGCGTGGGTCGTGTCCGCCTGAAAAAAAGTAGTCTCGTCTTCAAGGACGTTTTTGGGCTATCGTGATAATCTTAGCGGTTAGTCACCTCTGCGCCTCGGTATCAAGAAATCGCAGGATATCTCAGCAACTCGCGTGGGATAATAAGCGGTGAGATCGGATCGCGAATTGAGCGACTGATGTAATCGCTTTTGCTTAAACGCAGGCAACAGGAAACTTCGAAGGGCCGTTTAACAATTCATTCGCGAAAGATTGCGTAGAACAATTGCGATTTTGAAGCAACTGCGATTTTATTAGGTGCATAAGCTGCATGGTTATCGGCGTATCGATCTGTTGCGTACATTAACCAATGGGGCTTTCGCGTAGCGAGAACTTTCCCACATTTCTGACGAGACGTGCGTTGCATCACGGAGTGACTAATTGAAATGCTCATTTTAGATATTACGAGTTTGCACCTTATCTATGTAAATCGAACTATTATCAGTCTTTACGATACAGTAAAATTTAGTATCTAAATGTAACGTAGATTTTTTTTCAACGTAACTTACTATTTATTAGAGAGATTATGTAAATTATACTACGTACGATCGTTACAACAGTAATTTTTTTCATATAAAATTTGTTGTTACACGTTTGAACTCACATCAGTTATTATGTAATTATAAAGTGTAAGCGCGTAATATATAATTATATAATTACATTATATAATTACGAAAATGTTAAATGGATTTCTTTTTGTTTGCGCTTTTCGCAAAGCAGGTGTTAAAATGTTATCTCCACTATTGCTGTTGAGTACGGTTGTGTCCATAATGGGCGGCTACGTGCCGCCCGGGCCGAGATTCGGATGCCCCAAAGACGCGATTTACATTTATCCCTGCACTTGTCTTCGGGGCAGTGACAGAGGTTTATACATCCGCTGCGAGAATACAAATCTGGCCAGTCTCAGTGTTGCTTTCACGAATCTGGGAAACGAGGGCATGCCGATCGAGGAACTGGTTCTATATAAATGTAACATAGGTGAGTCGATTTAATCACGTCGTAAAGAAAAAGAAATTCGCGTGTAACATTCTAGAGGAAGACGACGAAATATAATAAGTTCGGTTGAATGAACTATTTTCCATTTTTATTAATTGCCAGTACGATTCTACGGGCCTGCTCTGTATCCATTGGATGTGCGAGCGCTCAAGTTCATCGATACGCCATTGAGATTGATCGAAGAGCACAGTTTTCTTGGCGTGAACCGAACTCTTCAAGAGCTTTATGTAATAAACAGCAATCTGGAAAAATTTCCTCGCGAAGCACTGCAGATTCTCGGTAATCTCAGTCTGTTGAGCATCACGGGGCATCGGATATCTGCCTTGCTGGGAAATAGTTTTGGTGAAAGCGCGGCGGCTGCGAAGCTAGAAAAATTGGAGATTAGTAACGGTAATCAGAATCTCATCGCGAGATATTGTTAGTGGGAAACGCACCGTCCCATTATACAGATCTTGAAAGTAATACAATTGTATGAGTTCAATTTTTGATATTATTATTTTATATGAAAAATAACATTTTCGTCATGTATAACTTTTTATACAATATCTATATATAAAAACATAATTATAAAAAAAATATCAAATTAAAATTCTTGACTGACATTTATATTTTTTAGGTACACTTTCTTCCTTGCCTGTGGAAGCATTGATGCCACTCAAGAAACTTAAAACTCTTGATCTTCATGGCAACAAAATAAAAGACTTAAAGAGAAATCAATTCAAAGGTCTAAGAGACACCGAGTTCTTGGATATCTCTCACAATTTAATCGACAAATTAGATCCGTCTCATTTGGCCGATCTTGTCAAGATGGGATGGTGCAACATATCGCACAATGCTATCGCCGATTTGAAAAGGTTGACAGACTTGAAGAAAACGGCACTACTTATCATAAAATTTTCCGCAATGTACCTAAGATCGTTTCTTCCGTTTTAGAGGAACCTTCGCCCGGAATTCCGTCTTGAAGGTCTTAAATTTGAGCCACAACAAAATCAGGAAACTTGATTCGAACACTTTCCGTGGCATGCGTTTCCTTAGACGGTTACATCTGAGCGACAATCAAATCGACGACGTGGGTCGTGGAACTTTCGGTTCCGTTACCAGAATCGGCACCGTCGATCTTTCTCGAAACTTCATCAAGAAAATCGACTTCCAAATGTTCAATCAGTTACAATTTGCTGAGGTATCTGAAATAATTATACTTGCACAATTCTCACACACAATTTTTCCTTAACCTTCTAGGAGGATGACATCATCTTATCATTGAAAAAACAATTCTTTTATTGATTTTGCTAAAAAAATATCTTATAAGTGAAAAATCCTATATGTATATAGTTTATCGATGATTTATTCTTTCTGGCGGTAGAAGTATATTTTAATGTTCAATATTTACATACACTTTTATTTTTAAGTTTCATTAATCTGTAGAGATTTCGAATTTCTCGAAATTTAATTTTAAAATAACTATTACAAATACGCACGCGAAAGGATTAATAGCAAATTTGTCGTGATAGCTTATAGATGTTTCCGAGAATTTCGTGACGATCGTGGAGAAATTGGCGTTCAAAGATATCTATCTGGCGAAAGTGAATCTGTCTCACAATGAAATTTCGAAGATCGAATCAGGCGCTTTCGAGAATTGTGCGAATATTACATTATTGGATCTCAGCCACAACAAGCTCGAGAATATCTCAAAGTATTCTTTCGATAGTGCGTCGTATGCTATGGAATTACAACTTAGTTATAATCTATTTACGTCTCTAAATCAGGTGAGTAAAATTTTTGATGAAAACGATAAAATACTTCACATTATTTCATTAAAATATTTATTTTTATTCACTAAACACTATTGACATTCTTTTTTTTTGTAGATTCCAATGCACAACATGACGGGGTTGAAAATCTTAAACGTTTCCCACAATTTGATACATTCCGTTCCACGGCAGACTTTTCCAAAGCTGTACGAGCTCCACACGATCGACATCTCGCACAACAATCTATCCGAGATTCATAACGCCGTATTTCAGACGCTCTTCAGCTTGCGATTCTTGAACATGTCGCATAATTCTCTAGAGAAAATAAAACCGTCGACTTTCGGACCGCTGCCGACACTTCTAGAACTCGACATGAGTTACAATCAATTAAACGACGTTGCACGGGGTAGTCTCACTCGATTAGCCAGTTGCAGGTGAGTGATTGTTGATTAATAAAATTGAAAAATGTTACGCCTGCAACGACATGTCTATTGTATTTTAGAAGTTTGACGGTAAAAAGTAACCGTTTGACAAAGATTTTCCAATTGCCAATTTCTCTGGGTCATTTGGACTTCTCGGAGAATCTGTTGGAAGAGATACCGAGCACCGACGTGTGGCCTACGATGAATGCATTGCTCTCGCTAGACCTTTCGCGGAATCAGCTGGGCGATAACCTGCAAGGGGGGAGCTTTGAAAACCTGCTGACCTTGAGAATCTTAAACCTGCAAGCGAATAACATTACAAAACCGCCTTGGCAAGCACTCGGCGGTCTGAGCAGCCTGCAGTATCTTTATCTGCAGGTAAGACAAGAGAAACTTTTACGGGGGAATTCGTTCTTCTTCAGGAGGATCAGTAATTTTCTGAATTTTTATTCTGATGGATATATTTCAGGATAATTACTTGACGAAACTGGAAAAAGCCGCCTTCGGCCGTCTGCCGATAGTATTTGAGCTGAACTTGGCGAACAATAAAATAAATGACGTAACGAGCCGGGCGTTCGAGGGCCTGTTGCAGCTGCTAACGTTGAATTTGACGAACAACAACATTAGCTACATACCGAACGGCGCGTTTCAGGGTCTAGTATCTTTACGAACACTCGACCTGTCACATAATAAATTGGAGAAGCTGGACAACAAGACGCATGGACTGCTCGACGATTGTCTGTCTCTGGAGAGACTCAACCTTAGCCATAACGAGATATCGTTTATCACCCGGAAGACCCTTCCAAATGATCCCTGGATTCCTTATAGACTAAAGGAAGTTGATTTATCCTATAATACAATGCCGGTCGTTACCTTCGACTTCATCGCCGGTGCTAAAAAGATTCAGTATTTGAATCTTTCTCATAACAACATTGATGAGATCAGGAGATGTGAGTAGTAAACCAGAAATGTCGTTTTTAATAGCTTCGACAACTAATCGGGTTGCTGTATAACGGTCCATCGGCTTATCCTTTCCACTGAGAATCGTCGTTTATGAGAACGTTGCCTTATTTCAGATGTAATCGGGAATTTAACGGCTTTGCAGACGTTGGATTTATCGTATAATGACATAAGTGACATCTCCGATCAAGATGTCTTTCTTCCACCGTTAAATTTGACCAACTTGCATCTGAGTAACAACCATTTAAGCCATGTGCCTCTCGACAAAATTCTATCACTGCCGAATCTAAAAGTTCTCAATCTGGAAGAAAACGAGATCGGTGTTTTCGATGAGAGGTTCATGAAGATTATTCAGAACGGCACGGTGTTCAAATACTCCGGTAACAATAGATTCAATAATTAGATAAAACATATAATCAAGCCACTAAAGGATTTTTAAAAAACTGTATTTGTAATCAAGTTTTTTGTTATCAATATTTAAAATGTATTTACATCAGGTAATCCCATGCACTGTGATTGTCATGTGCGGCCATTGAAGAGATGGCTAAAATCTCAAACGCAATTTCCAACGGAATGGTCGGACGTGATGTGTAAAAGTCCGAATTATCTCGCAAATAAATTTATCTCGGAAGTAACCGAGGATCTTACGAACTGCGGCGAGAGGGATATTCAAGAGGAGCCCGAACTCGACATCACACCTGATGTGAAATATCGAAGCATTGATTAGTATGTAATATATTTCATTGTTAATTTCTATCATAAATATATATCGTTTGAAATTTTCTCGAAGACTTTCTTCGGAGATGACGAGTTACAATTTTCTTTAGCGATATCGATGATAAAAGTTGGAAAGCGACATGGTACGTAACATCGCGCGAAGATATCGGTGACTTCTACGTGGTGGTTCGGGAATCCGGTAGCAGCAAATCCATGCTCGAAAAGGATATTGTCTACAGCGAGAGATCCTTCAAAATCAACGATCTGAAGAGGTCAAACACCAAGTACGAGCTCTGCGTGCTCGCGCGTGACTCTGAAGGGAACGTCAAGCATTATAGAAATTCGCAGTGTCAGATTTTGAATCAGCACTCGAGCTCGACTGATAGTCTCAGGGCGAGCCTGTACTTCGTGATAGTCGCTGCTTCCTTTTGCACTCTTATGAGATTTCGTTAACTTGACGAAACTAGTATTCGTAGTAATTAGAAAAGTATCTTACGTTTCGTGGAGATAGTAAGATAAACGCACGAAGTTATTATCTTTAGTTCTCGCTGGTTAAATTTCCGATCGTTCTGCTATTTTAGATTTTTATCTATGTCGCGTTGAAGCGCGATAAGCGATGTGATTGTACAATAAATTAATAAATGTATATTCCTCGAGAAGGTAAGTCCAGTAAAGACGTTACTTATCGTTATTTTAACGTGTCAAAATGACATCTTGAAGTAATGTCAAAATGATGATAAGAACTTCAACTTGTTTGCTGGGTGATATACTGTGTGCGTTGTACATAGAACGTATTGTATTTTGCTCGGAAGTAGGGACGTTGAACGTCGTGTATTTATTTTTGTAAAATATATACCTTGTACAAGTCACATATATTGTTGTCATTTAACACAAATGGATTGACCGAAGGTCTGTTCTTTTTTAAAGAATATTCTAAACTGGTGTGATAAGTTGGAGTGAAACAAACTATATTTGTCGAAAAATGTACACCAGTTGAAAACATGCTTTGAAAAGAACAGCTCTCAAGATTCGACATGAAGAAGAGACACGTCTAACTGCTGTGACCAGATCCTTGCGATAGTTTGCAATTGTTACGTGAATGAGAGGGACGATTAGTCGACGATAAGCGAGCGAATCCTTTTAATCAAGACCAACTAATCCCACGACATTAATCGCGTAGTCGTCCTGTTCCGCGACTAATAAAGCACTCGCGCGACTTGCTGAAAAAATTCTCAAGGAAGTCAGCGGTCGAGCTTTGCGTAGTAAGATTATTTCATTATCTCGTAAGGAGACCGTAATTAGTATCCACGATAACGTATAGTGTGTTTTATATTTAAAAAAAAAGAGGGAAGAAGAGAGACGTCTAATGAGGGCGTGAAACAGTGGAAACCGTTGTTTTCGGGCAAAAGGGCATTCGCCGAATTTATTAGCGTTATTGGAAATCGAACGCAATAGGTTCGATTAGGTTCGATCGCAACGACGACAATAATGTTGACTTTTCCTTTATTATTCGCACTTCGTTAACGCAATCGCACGTTAGCAATTATCGGTTACCCCACGTAATCACGAGAGAAAGAGACAATATTACGCGCACGCGAGTTCGGTGGATTAACGGGAATTTAAATTATACGACGCACGGCGTATTTGATTAATATAGCTTCGGCTGGCATACCAGAAAAAACAATGCACACACGCCTCTTGCCGTTCTGCTTGACGGCCTGCTCAGCGGCTTGCCCTCTCAATCGGGATTAACGTCGGTTTAACGCTTAATTAACGAAGTATTCCTCAGCAAAAAGCGCCGATCTTCGTTGTTTTATCAAAGTTACAAATGCGATTTTATGACAGTTAAGAACATGTGTTTTGCCATCTCGTCGGATTAATTTTATTATTACAGCTTTATAATTTTACGGCATATGAACTTTTTCTTATATTATTTTTATTTCTTACATGGTAGATTTTTATAAAATGTCAATCAGTGGAGATGAAAATGCAAAAGAAGTAGAAGAGAAAAAACGTTAAAAAATAATGTTTCAGAAAATTTCTATATTTTGCAATTCTTAAATCCACGATATCTGCAACGACACAAAATTTCATTCCGATACTAATATCTGGTTATGAAATATCTAGTCAGACACTTTCACCAGAAGCCCAATAATGGCTAAGAAGTATCGTACGCGACTGGGTACGAGTTCTCACGAAGAATCACGAAGATGATACTCGTGGGCTCCGTCAGGACAGATATCCGTTTGTCTGGGTCTCGTTGAGGCCCAGCGGACCTCGAGATTCTCAGGTACGAGTAAATTTACATTTGTCTCTTCCCCTCGTCGACCAATTGCCACGACAACACGTCGACATTATTGGCTCTCACCAAGTAAAAATTGCTGACTCAGAGAAAACAAACACATTTAAATTTTACATCAATTATATTGATCGAAAAAGTTCACACGCCTCTTCCCCATGACCCCATGACAGCTTGTAATCATTTATTTTCCAACTTGCCAATGGATATCTATTAATTCATAGTATTCGATAAATATCGTCGTTAGGCTGTTAATGTCGTTTTTATCTGCGGCACTGGCCGCATGAAGCCTGAGCGTATATGAATAAAGTAGGCAGAACACATTTACATACGCCGCTTTGGGCAGTGACTCACGATGTATCCATGTAAGGCCCAGAGCGAGAGGTGCCGTTGGCCCCACACGCCTACATTAAAACGGGCTGCCCGCCCGTGCTTCGGCAAAAGACAAAGAGAAGAAGAAGAAAAAAAAAAAAGAAATAAAAGATAACTCGTTCCGTAAAAGGTTCTTCTGCACGATATCGACTCACGATTCGTCGAGGTATCGAGAGTCCGCGTTTGCGAGGCCCAAATATCCTGGCGCAAGATATATCTCGCGTATATCGGCGCGATCGATTGCAGGGTGACGGAACACGCCTCTATGCCTGAATACCTTGATGAATCTTCTTCAGCCTATAAATCAATTAGCGCGTGGAACTTGTTATACCCTTCCCGCGGTTATTCCGGCCCGCAAGCTCATTCCGGTTACCAGATAAGCGCGCCACTTACACACGCAAGCGCGAACGCGTACGTGCGATCGCGTACCATTGCGATCGGTTTGCCGCGGCCTGCCACTTTCTCATCCGTGTGTCTTTTGTTTCTCGGTGACAGTGGCGTACGGGGTGCCCCGTCATGCCCGTTACGAATGATACCGATGATGCTCGTTTCTACCAAGGTAGTTTTAATTTTAATCCTGATCTAATTAACTCTCCATCTTCTTCTGGTTCTAAGAATTAGGAAAAAAGTGCTGAGTAAGTTGAACTGAGATTAAAGTTAATCTATATTGGTAGGAGCAGGTCGAGTCTAAATCCGGCTAACGTCCATTTCTACTATATATATAATGTAGATTAACTTTAATCTCGGTTTAATTTATCCTCCTAATCTTTTTTCTACCTGTTAGAACTAATTTGTGTAATAAAATTGAGAGGAACAGTCATAAAATGAGGGAATTTTAAATACAAGAACATTCTCGCAATCTTCATACATTACATTGGTACATTCGAGGTCTCGGTCCTGCTTACGTAAGGTGGATTTACTGTGAATCAGATGAAAGAGTCAAGTCTCTCATAATTTGCATCGGTTAGTTTTTGACATTTGATTAACACTCGAGGTATTAATAAGATATAAACTTGTCTTTCATCGCAATGCTTGATACACTTCTACGCCACTGCTCGATGCTGCAGTCCGGGTCTGCTGGCGGTTCAAACTCTCCCGCCACTCTCTTATTCCATCAGTGTCTCTCGCGTGTTCGCACGGGGAACATCGTTCGCGCGTCTTTATCACGACTCATTCCGGCGAGAGAGTTCTCGGAAATTTTTTAATTTTTCATTATCAGCGAAAATATTCGTGGTGTAAGATTCCGCTTTCGCGGAATAGTGAGAGGAGAATCGGTTCCTTACGACGGTTCCGGGCCTAACCGCGTCCATCTAAATGAGAGCCCTTCGCGGATAGTACAAAAATATTCGATCCTCTTCTTTCCCATCCTTTCCTCTTCCGCATCCGTTCCTCCTTTCTTTATTCCTTTGTTTACCTGTGTCCCTTACGCAAATCGCGTACTACATGATCCGCGGACGTTTCGTAATTACCCGGAGAATGGACATGGCTGACCGTTTCTGGAGACTGGCCCTGTGCTGGATATGCATCGTCGGGCTCGCAGCCGCCAATGGTGAGCGATTTAAACCCAACACATTTAAAGCCAATCATGTGATCGTGGTGATCCCGTGATCATCGCGATTTTATTTCAAATAATAAGCACGCGAGAGAAAATATGTATGTTGAAAAAAATTTTTAATCGAGCACAGGTGTACCGCGGCGCTGTCTACGCTCAATTATAGCGTCCTACGGCGATCGGTGACGAAGAAAAAAACATGACAATCGCGAATGAAAGTGACGTTCCTTTGTTCTCAAGCCGATTACGCCGACGATTGGCGGTTGACGCGGCATAACAAATAAGTAGCGTGACACGTCGCGGAATGCATCATAAAGTTTCAAAGCACCTGACGCACGCGCGTCTAAGTAGGATGTCCTAGATCGCGATACCTACCAGGGTATCACGAGAGAGGATCATAGCCTACCCAAAGCGCCAGTCAAGGTTGCGACGTTCCCTCATGCGTCGCGCGACGCGTTCGTTATGACTGACTTTAGGCTCGTTACTGGTAGACGTTTTCTTTCCTACTCGCTTCATGGTTCGGCTATTTATAAAAATAGCAGTGTCCAGCAATGATAGAACAAACCGACCACCAACACGCACGTATGACGCTAGAGACTGATCGTTTTATGACTCGCAAAGGCGCGTTCAGATTCCCACTCGAGCGCCAGTCGAGTATCATTTCATCCGTGTTTAACGATCGGCGAAGAGTAAGGATGATACATGGATGGTAATCGGGTGGGAATCTGATCTGTCTGAATATAGTCCAAGGAGATTATTCTCTCGAGATACGACGTAGTCGACACTAATTAAAAGTAACATAACATCATTGTTATAATTTTGCACTCAACAATGTAATTGTTATGTAACACTACGTCTGGTTTGTCATTATTTGGTTAACTCGTAGTTAAACTAATCTCATTTAACTTGATAATGTAAAAATTATTGTAATTTTCTAGCTATGATTAATCGTGAAACTAATAGCAGTGATAAAAGTTATTCAATATAAAGTCTCAGTCTAATAATTAATACAATTTTTATACTATTGTATATCAGGTTAAGCCTCACCACAAATTAATTAACGAATGAAAAACCGGGCCTATAAGTTATATTACATTTATAAGCCTATTCTTTTTTCATACTTTAGAACTGAACTTCTCTTGCACGGTCTATCTTTTGTTTTTATTCTCCAATGTAAAAAGAAAAAGAAAAAAGATGAATCGTGCAAGAAATTTGATTCCAGGATATGGAAGAAGAATAGACCTTATATTATTAAATGCGACATTTTGGCCGCTATTCATAGTCAGTTCTTATGTTCAAGACCGTCTTAAGTTCTGTCTTGAGGTGTCACGAACTAATCAGAGGGCCGCATTAGCAGAGAGACACACACATCACTTAATTAAGACATTACTTAAGATGATCTTGAAATAAGAACCGACTATGAATACCGGCCTATGACATCCACACAGCACACTTTATTCGAAGGATGTCCTGCGAATGTTCTTAGAACGTAAACGTCCTCGACACGTCAGTAGAATGTTTTCTTGGTGGTCTACGCTGTACGTAGACATTGATTTATGTTACTTTCAGTTTATGCCGACTTCCCTTGAACTTCTTAGCTTCTTTCGAGTTACAAGTTTCACGTATTTCGAAGCTTT